GTAAAATTAAGAATTAAAGTAGTTTTTAAATTATTTAAAATTAAAAAAATCCACATAATCATTTTTTACATGATGAATTTTCAGTCTAATATTGAAAATGTAAAATAGTCAATCACTTAGCAAAAAAATTAGCTACATCAACATTTAATTGACGGAAAGACGAAATTGAAAATTAAAGTTGAAGGACATTTTTGATACTTTTTGAAGTTTAAGGATGAATTGGTTCAAAAATAAAAGTTGAGGGACCAATTTAGATATTTAACCTAAAAAAATATGTTAGCTGATGTTAGCACCACAACTAATTAATCCTTAAATAGAAAAAGTTGAAAGTTGACATTCTTAAATAAAAAAAGTTGAAAATTGACATTTTTAAATAGAAAAAAATTGAAAGTTGATGTCCTTATTTAAAAAATAATAAAATTAACATTCTTAAATAAAAAAAAATGTAAAGTTGAAATCCTTATTTGCGCCTGTCACGCTCCAGAACCCAAATCCGAGGACGTGGCAAACACCGTGCACTCGTGAATGGGTCCCACGAATGCATACGGCTCAAAACTTATCCATATCACATCTGACAATTCAATAACTTAGCTCGGATATTTCAAAATTAATTCTATATCCAACATGACTTAATCTCAAAATCTCACGGTCAAATCTTTGGTAAACTAACAATCCATTAAATGAATGTATAAAATCTCCGATTAACTCTAGTTTACAAGATCATGATCTATATTTACAGTCTATGTTCACTTTACAGTCTATGTTCACTTTACAAAATGGCTAGCCTTCTAACTCGTCACTCCCTTTAGTTTCCCCGTCCTCAGTTTCACTTCCTAAAATGGTGGACAAGGAAAACTAGGTGAGATAAAATATCTCCGCAAGTAAATATGGATAGTCCTTGGGTAAAACTTTTAGCATGCCTGATAAACAATTTAATATAACAAAACGCTCAATGACAACATCAGATTCAGTTCAATTGCAAAGCATTCAATGACAAACCGTCAATGCAAAATCAGATTCAGTTCAATAACCAAACGTTTCCTGACAAACCGTTAATGCAGAAGAAAACTCAATTCAGTAGTCTCATCTATAAGTCATGGCCAACATTTAACACCCACTAGCAGGCGTCGGAATTTACCAATGTGTTCGCCCATTGGCAGGGGTCGAAATTTGCCAATGTATTCGCCCAGTGGCCGGCGTTGGAATTTGCCAATGTATTCGCCTAGTGGCAGGCGTCAGAATAAACCGGTCATATCAGTAAACATGTCGACATGTGCTAGTGTTACTCCCACTAGCGGGGATTAGAAATCATGATTATATCAGAGACAAAACCATGCAAAATTTACAAAAAAATCCATAATTCACAATCAATATCCAATTTCAGAAATAAACCTGAAAATTTCCATGTGAGTATGGATTTAATAGAAAACTCAGAATTTACAAAACTCTCAGTTCATCAAAGCAGTTCAGTCAATTCCAAATAGGCATGCTCTATTCCAGAAAAACAATGGAATTCTCATTCTCATTTCAATCATGCTCAATTCCAGAAAAACAATGGAATTCCCATTTTCATTCCAATCATGCTCAATTCCAAAAAAACAATGAAATTCCTATTTTCATTCCAATCATGCTCAATTCCAGAAAATAATAATTTTCATGAAAATCATCAAAATTCTCATTTCAGTTTAATCACACTCATACGCTGATAAAATCAATTTAAAATCAATTTAAACCTTGCCACCATCTCAAAAACAATTTAAAACATGCTTTAAAATCAAAGGACTTTACCATAATTTACTTAACTCACTCACATAAAACCGAAGACTCGATCTCAGTGCTAAATGGACAGAACGATCAAGAACCTAATCACAATATTTCACAATTAATATCGCACTACCACAAATTCAAAGTAAAATCATCATTAGAACTACCCCTAATCTCGGTGCTATTTCTATCAGTCTCCACATAACCGGACATCTCCAAATTTATTCTTATATCACAAACTAAACATTTAAATTCCCGCTAATTGTTGGCCCTCAGTGTACGAACAGTGCTTATGAACAGTAGGCGTAAACAGTACCCGCGAGCAGTGCCGTGAACAGTAACTTCAGTTCCAAAATTGGCAAAAACACTAGCTAATTTCACGGGATTTTCTCTATAAAATTCACAGCAGCCAAATCAAGCTAAATTTACCTAATCAAGCTTAAAACACATTTAATTGCTGCTAAATGCTACCGGAATTTATCCCCTTTTTCAGCCAAATTCGGACAAGCAGGGCAGCAGATAAATGGACAAAATTCCAGCAACTAATGGGTAATTTGGGACTCAAATGGAGCTGCCACTTACCAGAATTTTCCCAGCAAAAACCGGACCTGGCAGGGGAAGAAGAAGCCGGCGGCAAGCTGCAGGGAACTCACGGACTACCCAAAAATTGAGGGAAATAAACAGAAATCAGCATAACCCAGCCTAAATCAAGGTTAAAGAGATGATTTCTTGGCTGTGGCTTACCCGAAAAATGCCCAGAAATTCAAACCCACAGCAGCCGGCGGACAGGGGAGAAGAGCAGAGCAGAACCGGGATTTTCTGGGTTGAGAGGGAAGATTCTAAGCCCCAAATCTTGTGATTTAACAAGAAAAGAAGAAGAAATTCATCAAGATCTCACCGGGTTTTTAAGGGGGGGAAAGTCGGTGGCTTGGGGGGGGCTTGTCGGGAGGGAGTCGGGAAGAACAGAGCAGGCACGCGGATAAGGAAGAAGAAAAAAGAAAGAAAAACTCAGCCATCCTTATCCTAATTTCCTTTCTTTTTAAGTCCCTAAACTTTTAAAAATTTGACTATTAAGCCCCTCAATAATAGTTCTCCTCAAATAAGTCCCTTACTTAAGTGATAAAATTCCCAAAATTTTGGGATATTACAGCACCTTTACTCGTCATGGATATGTAGAGAGATTTCCCAATAATTATTCTTCCAAAGAGTTGCAATACTTGTCCACGATGATTATGTAGAGAGATTGCTCGATGACGGTCAAGATTGCCATTTGTTTTTAAGAGGAGGCAGTACTCAATGGTCAATGCGCCTAGGTTTTGCCATGATCATCAATAAAAGTGAAGGGCAAATTCTCAACAAGTTGGAATATATCTACCGAAACTTGTGTTTTCTCATGGATAGCTCCATGTTGCAATATCAAGAGTGCAGAATAAATTCGACTTAAATATTAATTGACAATAGTGGTTTGCAAGAAAGTCTAGGACCAAACTAAACCAAGAACATTGTTTACAAAGAGGTGTTCAAATATTTGAGATATGGAACTTAAATAGGTTAGTATAAGTTTAATTTCAGTACTATTATTATTAGAAATTATTAAATTTAGATTAAATAACTTTGTTACGTTATTGACTGATTAAGATAGTTATCTTATGAAATGTAAATAGATTCATGTTTTTTATTTTTGTAGATTTTATTGGATCGTCATCTCTTTTATTGCGTTGTCAAAGAATGAGGTCAACAATACAAGTGGTGGTCAAAATTTCTTGGTGAGTATTGTGAAATATGTTCACTTCCATTGCTGCACCTCTACATCAAAAATAAGGGACAATATTAGATCAGATATCCATATTTTGCAAGGTTTTCCAACATATGAATTGTGAAACATGAAGAAGGTACAGTTTATTCTGGCAGTTAATGAACAGTTTTCTCAATTCCATCTCCAACTGCATCGACAAAAGAAAAAAGAGACTGACACATGACCCATAGTCACTTTGGTACCATGTATCTGATATACAGTATCATGCAAAGTTTATTATGCAGAAATTTTATTTGATGAAGATTTTAATGTTTCGTAATATAGACTTACAGCTACATCATGAACAATATTACAGTCAATTGTTTTGTATGAAAATTAAAATGAAGAAAACATTATTATAATCACAGTCAACCTTTCATGTTTATGCAAATTAAATTCTTTTAATTTTTGTATGCATGAACTGTTTGGTGGAAACATTTATGAAAATTGAATGACTCAGTTGATATTCCCTCAAATCTACTCTATTCTTTAGCAACTTGCCCTAAAAATAATTAAATTCGCAGTCAGCCTTTCATGTTAATGAAGATTTAGCTCTTTTAATTTCTCAGTATGTGGTATAATTAGATAATTTGAGATACAAACTCCATAACAAATGTAAATTAGTATATTTTTGTAATTAACTATTTTTATTTGAGGGCTATTCTTGATGTTATATTTTTTCATTCATTTAATATTTAAGTATAAATTTAGTTGAAATTTTGATTGATAGGCTATATGTAGTGGAGGAGTGGGAGTTAGGATTAGATTATAGATACTCAATTGTTGAAGGGAGAAGGTATTCTAAGGGTCATGTAGCAGTGTGGAAGCTTGTTGGAAGTTTAGTTTTATTGATGGTCCTATGTAGGATATGGTGGCTTCACAATAGAAAAGATATTTTTTTATGGTAATAAGGAGCTTTATTGCTGCAATTGGGTGATGGTGTTGAAGGCTTTGGTTTGGATCAAGGCAAGGGACAAAATGATGTTTAGAATCTGATGGTTGGCGTTTATTTGATGGCTCTAAAAACTACGTTGGTGTCAAGTCTATTATGGTAATGTGACTAACACCTAAGGGATAAGAGAGTAGTTAGTTTGTTATGTATATTGTCAAGCTATTCTTATCTAATTTATCTATTGTTGGGGCTACTTTGTACCTCTGTAATCATATCAGTCGTAGCAAATGAGTATTATAGATATCTAAGTTATCTCTTTTCAAGGTAGAAAGTGCAGTGTAATTGTGTTACCTCTTAATTGAAAGCTATGACCCATTTTGTTCTCAAAAAAAAAAAAAAAAACCAGTATAATATTTATACATAATGTGTCATTTTTAATTAACTCATTTCATTTAAAATCATATATGATATTGTCTATTTCTATTTGTTTAACATCACATCATGTCACGTGATATACAATAGAATGTGATATTGTACTTGTAGTTTTGCCCTTAACCACAAGGCTTCTTCGTTTGGTCTTTCTTTTCTTTGGAGTACTATTGTTAACCTTAGAGCATGTACAATAAAAACAATGAAAAACCTTATTTTTGTGTTATATCATCATAATTAATATTATTTATATAAACTCATATTTTTATATATTTAACCCTTAAATAGATTACCTAATTAAATACCTTCTCTCCAATGTTTTTTACCTAAACAAAACATTTTTAAAAATCACAATAACAAGATTTTATTCAACTTACATTTAAATATTTAAATTAAAATTTTTGAAATGATTTTTTTTTTAAAAAAAAAAATGCATGCCGTTTGATGACTTTATCCAACAATTGAAATTTTAGTCTGCACCACCTAACATTGGTTGCAAATTTTTTCCCCCCTTTGGGACAAGAAGCAAAAAGAGATTAAGAGAACAAAGAGAGAGAGCTTGACTCTCTTTTTCAAAATGCTCCAATAGAGAAAAAAATTGGGACTTTGTTCTCTTTAAAAAAAGGAAGAATGAAAAAGCATGCGTTGTACATTTTTTTAGGAGAGTGTTTTTTTTTTTTTTTTGATAACAGCAATTATTAAAGGTTAATATGTTAAAAGTGTTGTGAGAGGTATTGAACCCGAAACTTGAGAATGCATACCACGGACTGTCATTTGGAGCAGCAAATGACCACTGAACCACGGCACATGGAATGCAAGTGCTATTTCTTCCGGATTGAGGTATCTTCCTTTACTTTGAACGAACCTCTCAAATAATTAAAAGAAAATTGGGCTTTGAGATAAGCATGAGAGAAATTTTTATTGCTCAGTGAAATTCACAAGTACTGGAGCTTTCAGAAAAGCTACAAGGGGTACCATGTTCTAGGGGGTTAATTAAGTTGACTTTGGAGTTTTCCTACCGCTTTATGTTTCTTATTTATAATTAATACTATATTATATAGCTATTGATATTTAGCTAGATATATCCTTGTTCAGTTGTTCTTATGGTTTGCTTTCATTCTCCTCTTTGCTAGCTGCCTCAGCAGCAGTGCAGCACCTGTAGCAACCTCCTCCAAAACCGCCATAGCAACAACCGTGTCTGCAACCACCACCATATCCACCACTTCCAGGTCCACCCCAACCGTAGCCACCTCCTCCGGGCCCACCACGTCCAGGTCCACCCCCACCATAGCCACCTCCGCCAGGCCCACCACCGCCAGGCCCACCACCTCCATAGCCACCTCTTCCGGGCCCACCACCTCCATAACCACCTCCTCCTGGCCCACCATCTCCATACACATTGGGGCCCACTCCACCACCACCTCCAGTATTCTCCTTCACATCATTTTCCTGCTTTGATCTTTCTTCTACCTCTGCACACAGTCAAAACGTGCTTTGTTAAATGTATGTCCCTCGGTTGATGAACATATTTTGTGACAGGTTTCTTACCAGCTTCACTGCTGTATCCATCGGCGTCATTTTTCTTATTCCCTTCTGTGTCCACTGCAGAAATTGTGAAGATTTTTTCAAATAAGCTTTAGCTTAAACACAACCAAAATAAATAAATAAATGATGAGGGGTTAGGAGTACGCCTTGTACTCCAATATATATAAATAAACAAAATTTACTGTTAAAAAAAATAATGAGAAAAATTATTTTAACACTATATTTTAGCTATGTATATGCTGACATTTAGATTCATCTTTGACGTTCACCTGTTTCACCTGCGGAAGTGAAAAGCACAAGAGTGAAAAGAAGACCCAGAAAAAAGAAAGGCTTCAACTTCATCTTTACTCGGAAGAAGATGTAATATAAGAAGGGTTGGATGAATGAGCCCTTGGGGTTTCCATAAAGCTGTATTTATAGTGGTGGGGGAATAGCAAGGGACAAATGGCATTAAAGAGGTCGCTTCGTGCAATCCTTGACCTTAATGTTCTTCATCATGTCGTTCGGTTACTTAAAAAATTTTATCTGTGTTTACGTGTTCAAAGGGTTCAGCACTGCTGTAGCCACTAAGTTGGGGTTGAAGAAAGCCACCTGGAAGTGGTGAGTTCAGCTCCATGGGGAATAGGACTAATTAAGTGGTGGTTGATGGTAGCATATCTATGCATTTTGTTAATGGGTTTGTCCAATGACACAAAATAAAGATATATTTATTATATATTTTTATTATTAATTATATATTAATTTACATAAAAAAAATAAATATTAATTTTAATATCTATAATACATAAATATTTTTTATTAGATAATTAATAAAATTAAAATTTATTTTTAATTTTATTATATATATTAATAATAAAAAAATATAATAAATACACCCTTAATATATAAGATAAAAAATTTCTTTGTTAATTCTATCTTACAAGTGGAAATTAAAATCTGCATTTTTTTATCTTATCCATATCTCTAAGGCTATGTTTGCTTCGAAAGAATGAAACCGATGACTTTTTTAATTAATTAAAATATAGTATTGATAAATAATATGTAATTTCATTTAAGACAATGATTGGTACACTATATTTCAACACTTGATTCAACGCCTTTCAATTTAGTCATTAAAAAATTATTATTTTTTAATTTAAAATTAAAAACAGACAAATATAATAATACAATCATACACACAGGATATAAGAATTGATTAAATTGACTGTATTTATATTATATTTTTAATAATTAAACTAAAAAATATTGAACCAAATGTTGAACTAGAGAATGTACCAAACATTTCCCTTTTATTTATAAACAAATTTACTTCCATCCTTTTTTCTTTCTTCTTCATTTCTTCCAAATCAAACATATTTTAAAAAATCATAATGTAATTTTAGATAAAATAGTCTAGAGATCACCGCATAGTATTCTTTTCAAGGGCACTTGAACAAAACCATACCATAGAAGTATTTCACAAAATTCTACTGCAGTCATTTCATTTTGTTTAAGACAATACTACAATACTATTTTTTATTTTATAATTTCAAGTAAATATATATGAGTTTACATTAGGTCACTTAGTGAAAGAAAAAGAGCAATTACAAAATTGACATGTCATATTATATATATCTTTGTACTTAAAATTACTGTATATTTATTAATTTTTTTATGAGGGTAATACCATGACATGTTTGCGAAGATGAATTTAAGAGAGGGAGAACCAAATTCAAATATATTGTTAGACTGTATTTAAATTTGATCTAAACAAATTAAATCTTGTATTTCAATTATTTAAAATGCTTGTACTTCAAATTTCTTCTGTCACCTTAACAATGTGAGCTGGATGAATATCACGAACAGCCAGTTTCTGAAGTTTTTGCTGCTAGAAGAACTACCGCGAAGAGTGAAGGAAATTGGTTTCCCCGACTTGGGGATGGGAATATTCCGCCCCGCATCGGAAACTTCCACTTCTTTGGTCCATACCCAGGCAAGGTTAAGCCAAATTTTTTTCTAAATTTTTTTATTTTATTATTATTATCTTTTTGAAACAACGCCATTTAAAATTAAGATTTTTATTTTTTTAAGAGTTAGAAATGATAAATATTTTTTCATATATATATATAGAGAAAGAGAAAAGGTGTCTATTTATGCATAAATTTTACATATTACACTTATACAAAATCTTAACTATTCATCTTTTTACTTTCAATTGTTGAGATTTATTATAATTTTTTAGATAAAAAAGATAATTATTTTTAATAAA